GCAAGACTTTTCACGGAAAATACAAGCATATGACGGCAGAGTATAGGTGGCCCGCTCCAGCGCCATCCATTTTCAGGGCTAGTTGATTCGGCAGGTGAGTTGTTACACACTCCTTAGCGGATTCCGACTTCCATGGCCACCGTCCTGCTGTCTGTATCAACCAACACCTTTTATGGTGTCTAATGAGCGGGCACTTTGGCACCTCAACTCCGCGTTTGGTTCATCCCACATCGCCAGTTCTGCTTACCAAAAATGGCCCACTTGGAACTCGTATTCAACGCCAAAGTTCAAAATCAAGCAACTTTGACATCATACCCATTTAGAGTTTGAGAATAGGTTAAGAACATTTCGTTCCCAAGTCCTTGGGTAAATTTGATTGACTGGGGGGGGATTTTTAATCGGATCGTCACAGACTCATAAACCAAAAATGCCTGGTGAAATTTGATTGCCTGGGGGAACCCTATTGCCTGAACCCTACGACACTTGGTCAATTGCACTTTGGTCTACTTTGCCTGAGGCAATTTACCGCGTTGAAAGCACGCCATCCCGTCGATCTGGCAAGTTAAGCAACGCTGGGCTTCCTTAGTACTTGGAACGGAGACGTCCTGGGAATCGGGGGTGTCGTAATCTTTTTTTAATGCACTTTGGTCTACTTTCAATTGCACTTTGGTCTACTTTGCCTGAGGCAATTTTTAATCGGATCGTCACAGACTCATAAACCAAAAATGCCTGGTGAAATTTGATTGCCTGGGGGAACCCTATTGCCTGAACCCTACGACACTTGGTCAATTGCACTTTGGTCTACTTTGCCTGAGGCAATTTTTAATCGGATCGTCACAGACTCATAAACCAAAAATGCCTGGTGAAATTTGATTGCCTGGGGGAACCCTATTGCCTGAACCCTACGACACTTGGTCAATTGCACTTTGGTCTACTTTGCCTGAGGCAATTTACCGCGTTGAAAGCACGCCATCCCGTCCGATCTGGCAAGTTAAGCAACGCTGGGCTTCCTTAGTACTTGGAACGGAGACGTCCTGGGAATCGGGGGTGTCGTAATCTTTTTTTAATGCACTTTGGTCTACTTTCAATTGCACTTTGGTCTACTTTGCCTGAGGCAATTTTTAATCGGATCGTCACAGACTCATAAACCAAAAATGCCTGGTGAAATTTGATTGCCTGGGGGAACCCTATTGCCTGAACCCTACGACACTTGGTCAATTGCACTTTGGTCTACTTTGCCTGAGGCATTTTAATCGGATCGTCACAGACTCATAAACCAAAAATGCCTGGTGAAATTTGATTGCCTGGGGGAACCCTATTGCCTGAACCCTACGACACTTGGTCAATTGCACTTTGGTCTACTTTGCCTGAGGCAATTTTTAATCGGATCGTCACAGACTCATAAACCAAAAATGCCTGGTGAAATTTGATTGCCTGGGGGAACCCTATTGCCTGAACCCTACGACACTTGGTCAATTGCACTTTGGTCTACTTTGCCTGAGGCAATTTTTAATCGGATCGTCACAGACTCATAAACCAAAAATGCCTGGTGAAATTTGATTGCCTGGGGGAACCCTATTGCCTGAACCCTACGACACTTGGTCAATTGCACTTTGGTCTACTTTGCCTGAGGCAATTTTTAATCGGATCGTCACAGACTCATAAACCAAAAATGCCTGGTGAAATTTGATTGCCTGGGGGAACCCTATTGCCTGAACCCTACGACACTTGGTCAATTGCACTTTGGTCTACTTTGCCTGAGGCATTTTAATCGGATCGTCACAGACTCATAAACCAAAAATGCCTGGTGAAATTTGATTGCCTGGGGGAACCCTATTGCCTGAACCCTACGACACTTGGTCAATTGCACTTTGGTCTACTTTGCCTGAGGCAATTTTTAATCGGATCGTCACAGACTCATAAACCAAAAATGCCTGGTGAAATTTGATTGCCTGGGGGAACCCTATTGCCTGAACCCTACGACACTTGGTCAATTGCACTTTGGTCTACTTTGCCTGAGGCAATTTTTAATCGGATCGTCACAGACTCATAAACCAAAAATGCCTGGTGAAATTTGATTGCCTGGGGGAACCCTATTGCCTGAACCCTACGACACTTGGTCAATTGCACTTTGGTCTACTTTGCCTGAGGCATTTTAATCGGATCGTCACAGACTCATAAACCAAAAATGCCTGGTGAAATTTGATTGCCTGGGGGAACCCTATTGCCTGAACCCTACGACACTTGGTCAATTGCACTTTGGTCTACTTTGCCTGAGGCAATTTTTAATCGGATCGTCACAGACTCATAAACCAAAAATGCCTGGTGAAATTTGATTGCCTGGGGGAACCCTATTGCCTGAACCCTACGACACTTGGTCAATTGCACTTTGGTCTACTTTGCCTGAGGCAATTTTTAATCGGATCGTCACAGACTCATAAACCAAAAATGCCTGGTGAAATTTGATTGCCTGGGGGAACCCTATTGCCTGAACCCTACG